GCATTTGCTCTTTCTTTCCCTCTGGCCAGAATGTCCTTCTTTTCCCCATTAGCTCTGTCTGGTGATGCTACTTACCCTTCGAGGTCCAGTTAAATGTCCTCCCCACTCTGTGATGCATCCACATTATGTCCATTTTTGGTGGTGGACACATCTGTCTCCCCTGCTTTGCTCTTTCAGAACAGTAACCACATCTCGTTTATCTTTAATCCCTAGTTTCAAGCCTAGGGTCTGATCCACAGCAGGAACCAACAAATGCTTATGGGAAGATGTAAGGAAGGGAGGGTGCACAGGAAGGATTGAGAGGGGAAAAAAGGAAAGAAGAAAGAAGGAGGGAAGGAAGGAAGGGACAGAGGGAGGAAGGAAGGGAGGGAGGGAGGGAGGAAGAGTTGACTCATAGCTCCCACAGATACTCAGATCCTAATTCCTGTATGTTACCTTCTATGGCGAAGAGATTCCAGATGTGATTAAGTTAAAAATATTGAGAGGGAGAGTATCCTGGATTATCTAGGCAAACTCTAAATACAGTTGTAAGATTCCTTTATAATAGGGAGGCAGAGGGAAAGGTTACCATGGAAGAGAAGGCCATAAGAAGACAGAGCAGGGAGTTTTGAAGATACTATCTTGTTGGTCTTGAAGATGAAGGAGGAGCTATGTGCCAGGGAATGCAAAGAATGAAGCTCTAGGAGGTAGAAAGGGGGAGGAAACAGAATCTCCCCTAGAGCCTCCTGATGGAGCACATCCTGTCAGCATCTTGTTTTCAGCCCAGTGAGACGTCTGACCTCCAGAACTTTAAGAGACTAATTTGTGTTAAGTCCCCAAGTTTGTGGTAATTTCTTACAACTGGAACCTAATACACCCTCCATAGTTGTTGTACTGTTTTTGCAGTCCCATGGAAAGTACAGGTAGGGCATGTCTTTTTTTTTTTTTTTAACAATGAGGAAAATTTTCCCAGAAGCCTCAGAGTACACTCCCCTCCTATCTCATTAGCCAGAATGCTGTCACATGGCCATTCCTAAGCCAATCACCGGCAAGAATAATCAAACTTCCTCCTAGCCCTTGCCCTGAGGCTGCATCCTTCTCTCCTGACTCACCTCAGGATTCTGCCCTCAAGGAAGGAGAGAGGCATAGCAGCTTTGAGTTGGCCATCAGTGGTGTCTATCTCAAAAATCAATTGCAGAAAAAAAATCCTCAGTTCAATATATTTTATAAGAGTTAAAAACTCTTGGACTAGACTCTCTGAGGAGTCATCAGTTGCAGGCTCCCAGGCCAGGACTTTCCCCTGTTCAGCCCCATCTGGCTTTGTCTAACTCTCCCCCTTTTTCCAGAGCAGACAGGGCGCAGTGAGTTCTGGTTGTGAGTCACCAACTGGCTTGTCTTCTAGAAAACTGTCCCACTTGCAATACTGACTCAAGTCCTATTAAGGAAATCTTTTCTCTTTTCTTCCTGTTTTAGCTTTACTCTGACATATTATCCTAGAATTTCAGAGCTGCAAAGGGCCCTAGAGGTAGTAGCAATAACAAGAATAATAATATTCATATATAATAGTCTTATTATGGTAATTACAACAGCTGCCATTTTTATTGAGCATTTACTATGTTCCAGGCACTTTGTATGTACATTTAAGCCTCGGGTCTTCTTGATGAGGTAGATATTCTCATCCTGTCTGATAGATTTTTAAACCTGGGAAAAGAAAAAATGAATTGTTCAAGGTAAATGCTGGCACCAGGGTTCAAACAGATTTGTGAGGACTCAGGCTTTTTGTTCTCTAACTTCATGAAGTCCCTAACCTTCCATTCTACAGAAGATAAATGATAACTCAGGGTAAGGAGGGTGGAGCAGAGGAGGTGCTGGAAAGCGTGAGCATCTTGCTCAGTTCACATGACCTGGGAGTGGCCACAGCAATGGCTGCCTCTCTAGTGCAATAAGCAGCTCACATTAGCTTTTCTCTCTCCTCCAAAGGAATCAAGTATTCACTAATTAACTGTGTTTAATGAGAGAAAAGGGGTTGGTCCTTTTGCAAAATGAGAGCAATGAAAATATTTCTTGCCCTAACCCATTTGGCTCAGTGGATAGAGCGTCGGCCTGCGGACTGAAGGGTCCCAGGTTCGATTCCGGTCAAGGGCATGTACCTTGGTTGCGGTGGGAGGTGTGCAGGAGGCAGCTCATCGATGTTTCTCTCTCATCGATGTTTCTAGCTCTCTATCCCTTTCCCTTCCTCTCTGTAAAAAAATCAATAAAATATATATTTTTTTAAAAAGAAAATATTTCTCATTGTGATTGTTAAATTCACAATGTTGACTTTATCTGGCGTTGTTGGAGGATTTTTATAAAATTGTATTATAGCTTGATGAGTGCCTTACAATTTAGAAAACTATTTCAAATATTTTCTCTCAGCTTGCTTCAGCTCTGTAAGCAGAAAGATATGATTATCCCATTTCACAGTAAGGACATTATGGCCCGAAAAGATTATTACATTACTTGCAGAGCCAGAGTCAAAACATAGGCCAGTGATGGTGAACCTATGACACGTGTGTCAGAGGTGACACGCAAACTCATTTTTTTGGTTGATTTTTCTTTGTTAAATGGCATTTAAATATATAAAATAAATATCAAAAATATAAGTCTTTGTTTTACTATGGTTGCAAATATCAAAAAATTTCTATATGTGACACGGCACCAAACCCTATAAGTTAGGGTTTTTCAAAATGCTGACATGTCGAGCTCAAAAGGTTTGCCATCACTGACCTAGGCCCTGTCCCTTGGAAGGAAGCTTGTTGGTTATGAAGGCCTGACATCCAAGGTTAGGCAATTTTCCTATGAATTTTACACTCATATTTTCAAGTTAAAAAAGTAATGAAGATTTTAGTTGGCTGAGGTGATTTTATTTTTTTACTGAGATTTCTGCACTGAATAAATAAATTTAGAGAGTAATGATATCTTTATAATCACAAGTCTTCCCACCCTTCATCCTGTATGTGTCCAAGTAGAATCTCAGACCCTTTGCAGTTTTTGCTGAGTTTAATCCTTTACAAATTGCTTTGGTGGCTAATTTGAATAACATCTTCAGTTCTGTTAAGATTTTTTTCTAATTGATTATACTGCATTATTTTTATTTCTAGTTAGAAACTTGATACTTGGTTGAGCATTCCTGTTGTTTCCAAGAGCTTTTCAGTTAATTTGCTTTAGTTTTCAGCATAGGATTATACCATCTGCAAATATTAAAAAAAAAACAAAACCTGCTCTCCTAGTTCCACTATAAGTGCTCTTTCTACCACATGATACTGCATTTTTCCACTACTTTGCATTTTCCAGATGACTAAATGGCTCCTTTAAATGCCAAAATATTTAGAAATATAACTGCCTGAGCTGACAATCTTTCTCAAATGAATTACAATGTGTAGCAAACAGCTGTGGTTTTGCCTGCACAACACATCTTTCCCTCATCTTTTTAAAAAATATGTTTTTATTAATTTGAAAGAGAGGAAGGGAAAGGGAGAAAGAGATGGAAACAATCATCTCTTGGCTGCCTCCTGCATGCCCCCTACTAGGGATTGATCCTGCAACCATAGCATGTGCCCTGACTGGGAATGGAACCGTGACCTCCTTCCTGGTTCATGGGTCAATGCTCAACCACTGAGCCACACAGGCCGGGCATTCCTCCCCATCTTTTGATAGAAGCCCCTTTCTTTCTTTGGAGGAACTACCCTTCCCACACCCCAGGAGGTCCAGCTAGACTGCCCTTCACTTGACCCCATCTACATACCCCTAACCCTGACTCCACTACAGGCTGACCTAAGGGACTCTTCCAAGAATTTGTGTCTTGAGAGAAGGGAAACTTGGCCAAAAGTACTCAGGATCAGTGTCATCTAGAAGGCAGGCCCTAAGGAGATGTCCACATTTTGGCCTGGGGTGGCCCTGATTTCTGTCTCCCAAAGCCTGATTATTCAAGTGCTCCTTCCATTCGAGGAGTTTCCCAATTTTCTTCAATACATTCTGTTTGCTTCTGTTACAAGTGATCCAGATATCAGTGCCCAAAAAGTTGGTTGCAGATATTAGACCTTGCTATCAATGGAATTGTATCCTTCCCAAAAAGATACATTGAAGTCCTAACCCTGAATACCTTCAAATGTGGACTTATTTGGAAACAGGCTCTTTACAGAAATAGTTAAGTTAAAAATGAGGTCATGAGAGTGGGCCTTAATCCAATAGATCTGGGGTCCTTAAAAGGGGGAAATTCAGACAGAGACAGATACATAAAAGGGAAGACAATGTGAAGACACATAGGGAAGGCCATGTCAGGACAGAGATGGGAGTGATTGCATCTACAAGCCAAGAAACTCCTTGAAGTGGCCAGAAGCTAGAAAAAACATAGGGAGATTGGCACTGCCAACACCTGGATTTCTGGGCTACAGAATGTGAGATAAGATATTTCTGCTGTTTTAAACCACCAAATGTGTGGTACTTTATTATGGCAGGCCTAGGAAACTAACACAGATCCTCAAGGAAATGTAGGCTATCTGGAATGGCAGATGGCAGAAATTGCTGACTGTTCACCAAACCCTTCCTCCCTTTTTTGCCTGTGAGTAGCCCTGTAGCCAGGCACATGGCTGCCCCACCAAACCATGTTTGCTTAGCCTCGCTTGTGGTTAGGGTGACCGAGTGTCTGACTTCTCCCCAGGGGAATATAAGTGGGAATAACCTGTGCCATTTCTGGGTCTTTTTCAAAAGAATGTCCTAAATGAATTACTACTTCAAAAAGCTTTTCTAATTAGCTTCTTCAATTGAGGATTTGATTCTGGGCTGGCTGGATCTCTGCTACCTTCACCTAGTAATTGTTTGAATGTAGGAGGAGTCCTTGGTAAATGACATCAACCTAAGACTCTCATGAATTATCTCAAGAATTGAAAAGAAGAAAAAAATGTACCCAAAGTCTCCTGCTGTCCTCCCAGTTACATTTTCCCTAGAAGGAATGTAATTGGGCTGATGAAATACCCTTTTACCTTTATAGGGCTCTGCAGCTCCGGGGAGCGTTTTCACATCTAATGCTCCTTTGCTCTTCTGACACAGTGTCCTGAAGGAAAGAGGACAAGCACAGAGGTCAGGGAGGGCTGGATAGAGTCCCTGCTTTGCTATGCTTTGGCTCTGAAATGCCAATTAACCATGTGTTAAAGGAGGAGAAGAGCAACGCTCACTCTTTGCTTTTAGCGTTAGGACTGTGATTGCTCTGCACACAGTAGATACCCATGCAATCTGTTGAATGATGCTATGAAGTTTGCAGGGTAGGGATTCTGAGCCCTGACTTACAGGTGAGGGAAATGGAGTTCATCAGAATGAGGACAAGAATTGTTCAAGGTCACAGAGCTGGATCAGGATCTTCAAAATCAAATTCATTGTTTCTATCCCCTTAATCCACTGAATAACAGAATTTTCTCAGGTTTAAATAATAACAGCACTGTTGGCAAAGGTAGCTTTCATTTTTGAGCCTTTAACATGTGTCTGGCACTAGACTAAGCAGTTTATATGAATGAATCCTTTTTACAGATGGAAAAGTCAAGGATTCAACAAGGGGAAGTCACTTGCCCAAAAACATAGACAAGGTCATTGCCAGTAATGGAACAAGCTGATAACATATGCCTTCCGATGGGATGCACTAGAAAGACATGGCATCGTCTAAACAGCATTTTGCCCAAAAATGTATGAATTGATTGAATAATGAGGAGACATTTGACAAACTCAAATTGTGAAATATTTTATAAACAACTGCCCTGGACTCTTCAAAAATGCCAATGTCAAGAAAGACAAAAAAAAAAAAACGGGCAGGGGGCATTGTTCCAGACTAATGGACACTAAAGAGACATGGAAACTAAATGCTTCTTATACTGCTGGATGAAGACTGAAAAGTTATAAAACAACATAATCAGGCCAATCGAAGAAATGTAAACATTAACTGTTTTTAGGTATTACGGCATTAATCATGCATTTACTGAATGTGACAATAACATTATGATCGTGTAGAAAAGTGTTCTTGTTCTTAGGAGATATGTGCTAATGATTTTAGAGGTAAACAGACATCAAACCAGCAACTTTCAGATGATTCGGGGGAAAAAGGCATGTGTGTGTGTGTGTGTGTGTGTGTGTGTGTGTGTGTGTGTGTGTACAGTACACAGAAATAAAGCAACTGTGGCAAAATTAGCAAATCTAGATGAAGGATGTAAGGTTGTTCATTGTACTCTTCTTTCTTTTTAAAAAATATATTTTTATTGATTTCAGAGAAGAAGGGAGAGAGATAGAAACAACAATGATGAGAGAGAATCATTAATCAGCTGCCTCCTGTCGAGCCCACAACCCGGGCATGTGCCCTTGACTGGCATCCAACCTGGGACCCTTCAGTCCGCAGGCCGACGCTCTATCCGCTGAGCCAAACCAGCTAGGGCTTGTCTTTCACTATCTCTGACTCAGCTATTTCACAACCCTATAAACTGTAGAAAAATTATAATAATGCAAATTATTCTTGTTCATAGAAATACAAACTGATTTTGTCTGTAAATGTACAATTTAAGAGATTAAATATCAGTTTATTGTGCTAATGATAGTTATCGATTTTATATCTATTAGAAAATGTACTTCTGCAATCTTAATTGTGTGTATGTATCGCTGTATGTTAATCAGATTCTCCTTTGAACTGGTTTTACTATATGACTGGTTCATTCTGCAGAAGACTAATGGGAGGACCTAGGGCTATAGAAGTTCTCACACTCTAGGGAATTGGAATCTTGAGAACCCTACAGGCCAAACCCTATAAGAAGAACTCTGTTTATAATAACGCTCTATGATTCTAACTTCCCCTTTCCTTAACTTTCTTTCCCTTCTATGACTATCCCTCCATCTAGGTCTGAAAGCCAGAGCGGGTAGGTACATGGCTAGCCACATCTGCGTACACTGGGTTGCAACCCCTTCTTTTTCCAGAATAAATCCTTTTTGGTGACAAAACATCTAGTCAATATTATTTTTCAGTTGACAATTCATTAATTACTAAGTTAATAAAACTTTGAAAAATGTTCACTTTGTATTTTCATAAATCACAACTTGAACTTTTAAAAAATTATAATAGGATTTGTAGTATGGTCCTGTCTTCATTATAAAGATATATGTCTTTATACAGGGTGTGCAAGAGTAGGTTTACAGTTGTTTCTATGGAAAATAATGTAAGAGTAAATAATAACACAAGAATCAACTCTGTTTCACGTACTCACAACTGTAAACCTATTTTTGCCCCACCCTGCATTTCTTAGAGAAAGCCTAGGAGGATGAACACAAAAATGTTCATGAAAGATCACTCAGACAGGGGTAGGTACATAATATTTTTAGTTGACTTTTACTCTTCTTTATACATTTCTATATTGTTCAAATATTTTATGCTGAACATCAGCTTTCTAGCAAGTTTTTTTTTAATTTTTTATTACAAAGGGTATTACATATGTGTCCATTTTTTTCCCCCGCCCTAGACAGTCCCCTAGCCTCCCCTATCCCCCAGGGTCTTATGTCCATTGGTTATGCTTATATGCATGCATACAAGTCCTTTGGTTTTTAAAATATATATGCATGTGTATGTTTGTGTGTGTGTGTGTGTGTGTGTGTGTGTGTATCAGAGAGGAAGAGAGAAGGAAAGAAACATCAATGATTAGAGAAAATCATTGATCAGCTGCCTCCTGCACTCCCCCTACTGGGGATTGAGCCCGCAACCCCAGCATGTGCCCTTGACTGGAATCAAACCCGGACCCTTCAGTCCACAGGCAAACGCTCTATCCACTGAGCGAAACTAGCTAAGGCTCTGGCAAGTTTTAAAAGCACCTATCTTCCTTTTTAAAAGACAAGACAGAAAACTGCTGAAACCAGTCATTTGGGATGGGAGGAGTGTTAAAAGGGATCAAGTGCGAGCAGCTTCTTCAACCTATAGAGCTTTTTGGCTGATTATTTACATGAGAAGACCCATTGGGAAGCCAGGCGGCCAGCTTAATTCCCAGCAGACCTGTTTTTCCTGACATGGGATGCCTCAGGCATAAAACAATTTGAAGTGGCAAAGCATCGAAGTCCTCTCTGTGGCTGGGCTGGGTATGGTCAAGTCTGAGAGCTGGACTGCAGCTCTGGCTCTTTCGGCCTCTTAGATCTTGAGCTGGTCAATTAATTCAGTCTCAAGCCACAGTCCACAGAATGTCAGCTCTAGAAAAGAGTCATCTAAACCCATGGCCGGCAAACTGCAGCTCGGGAGCCACATGCAGCTCTTTGGCCTCTTGAGTGTGGCTCTTCCTAAGCCTTAAGAGTACCCTAATTAAGTTAATAACAATGTACCTACCTATATAGATTAAGTTTCAAAAATTTGGCTCTCTAAAGAAATTTCAATCATTGTACTGTTGATATTTGGCTCTGTTGACTAATGAGTTTGCCGACCACTGATCTAGACGAGTCTCAACTGGGCTGACTGGGCACTTCAAGTCTCGGCCACGTATCTGTTCCATGCCAGTAGGCTACCTCAGGAATGTCCTCATGGAGATGACAGAAACACAGGAAAGAGCAAGGCCTCTCGAGATGTAGACTTAGAAGCACCATTCTTGCACTTCTGCTTCATTCTATTACCCAAAGCCAGGCACACGGTCAAGTCCAGAGACAGAGGCAGAGGACACTTCAAAATTAAATGCCGAAGGGCTGGAGGCAGAGAGGGTAAAAGATCATTCAACCCATCAGCAAGACCTATCAGTTCTACCTTAGAAATACTTTCCACACCTGTCCAATACTCCTTCTATCTTATTGCTACCACCACTTCAGTTCACCATGATCTCTCTTACCTATCACCACCTGACTGATCTGTCCAAATCTTTCTTGTCCAATCCTTCTCACGAGGCAATCCCTTCTTTCTACTGATGGTTAAACGGCACCCACAGAGGTCACACCGCAAATTAGGGCTCACCCTAGCACCAGAACCCCGGTATCCAGAGTCCTGGCCCAATGTGCTTTCACCTCACCTTACTGGACTGATTGTGAAGGGCCTCGAATGCCAAGCCAAGGAGACTGGCCCAAGAAAAACTAGCCTGTCTGAACAGAAGACGCCAGGGCCAAGGTCAGAGCCATGCACCAGGAAGAGTTTTCACTCTGAGCAGGGAGGAAGGAGCAAAGCTCTCCGGCTGGGAGGCTGCTCTTAGGACCTAAGGCTCTACCAGGCCTTTAATGGACCTAAAGAACCGCCTTGGCAAAGCTGCCTGTCATTTAATTGCATGTGAGGAGAAAACTGGCTGCTCTTTTTTTTGTTTAAGAGAAAAATGCCAGTGATTTTTATTATGCAAAGAGAGATGGAACCCCTCACCTCCTTGAAATGGAGAAATTCAAGGACAAAAAGGCAGCATAAAGAAAAGGCTGCACTCCTGGTGGGTCTGGAGTATTTAGATGTTAACTGGCTTTTCTGGAGGCTCGGGGTCCCTGCCAGAAACTGAGGAGAGAGGTGGCCCCTGGGGACCGAAGAGGCCAGGCCAGGCAACGGGTTCTGGCATCCTGTCTTAAGTTCCTCCTTATTACTATTCCCCAGCCTTGAGGCCCCAAACCTCACAATTTTTTTGCCATTTTAATGAACTAACCATACTATTTGTTGACTTAATACTGTTCTGTAAATCTACTCACTTTAAAAAACTTAAATATATTTTTATAGAGCATTTATATGGGAAACCAACATTGTTTCCATAAAAGTACATACAAGGAAAACAAAACAATGTCGTTAAACTCCAGCTAGATACTGTTGCCTGCTCTTTCTGTGTTAGAAAGGGAGATTGGCACATTAGAGAACTTTTCAACGGGTATTAGAGTGTTTCTGAGGCTTTCCTCGATTTAATCAGAAGGAATGGAAGATAACTGAAAATAGAATACTATCTCACTGTGTGGTTCAGTTACTTTAATGCTTTTGTGTGAAACAGCTTAAATAAGCTGTGGTTCCACCACTGATAATAGCCAAGCGCTGGAAAATGCGTTGGGCCTGGCTCTCCCACCCGTTAGCTGAGTGAACTTGGGGAAGTTCCTCAACCTCTT